CATGCCCTCTCCAGCTCCACAAAGGCAAAAAACTAGTAATAGTAATAGTAATAGTAATAGTAGTAAAGTTGGAAGGGACCTTGGAGGTCATCTAGTCCAACCCCCTGCTCGGGCAGGAAACCCTACACCATTTCGGACAAATGGCTGTCCAGTCTCTTCTTAAAAACTTCCAGTGTTGGAGCATTTACTGCTTCTGGAGGCAAGCTGTTCCACTGATTAATTGTTCTCACTGTCAGGAAGTTTCTCCTTAGTTCTAGGTTGCTTCTCTCCTTGATTAGTTTCCACCCGTTGCTTCTTGTCCTGCCTTCAGGTGCTTTGGAAAATAGCTTAATTCCCTCTTCTTTATGGCAGCCCCTGAGATATTGGAATACTGCTATCATGTCCCCCCTTGTCCTTCTCTTCGTTAAACTAGACATACCCAATTCTAGCAACCGTTCCTTATATGTTTTAGCCTCCAGTCCCCTAATCATCTTTGTTGCTCTTCTCTGTACTCTTTCTAGAGTCTCAACATCTTTTTTACATCGTGGTGACCAAAACTGGATGCAGTATTCCAAGTGTGGCCTTACCAAGGCATTGAAGAGTGGTATTAATACTTCACGTGATCTTGATTCTATCCCTCTGTTAATGCAGCCTAGCACTGTGTTGGCCTTTTTGGCAGCTGCAGCACACTGCTGGCTCATATTTAAGTGATTGTCTACTAGGACTCCGAGGTCCCTCTCACAGTTACTACTATTGAGCATGGTGCCACCTATGCTGTACTTGTGCATTTGGTTTTTCTTGCCTAAATGTAGAACCTTGCTTTTTTCACCATTGAATTTCATTTTGTTAGTTAGTGCCCAGTGTTCAAGTCTGTCCAGATCCTTCTGTATCTGAAGCCTGTCTTCTGGAGTGTTGGCTATTCCTGCCAGCTTGGTGTCATCTGCAAATTTGATGAGTTCCCCATCTATCCCTTCATCCAAATCGTTGATGAAGATGTTGAAGAGTACTGGGCCCAGAACAGAGCCCTGGGGCACCCCACTACACACTTCCCTCCATATAGATGCAGTTCCATTGAGGACCACTCGCTGAGTACGGCCGGTCAGCCAGCTACGGATCCATCTGGTGGTGGTTCTGTCTACCCCACATTTTTCTATCTTGTCAAGTAGTAGGTTGTGATCTACTTTATCAAATGCCTTACTGAAGTCCAAGTAAATTATGTCCACAGCATTCCTCTGATCCACTAATTTTGTCACTTGGTCAAAGAATGCAATAAGATTTGTCTGGCATGATCTATTTTTGACAAACCCATGTTGGCTTTTAGTAATGACTTTGTTTGCCTCTAGGTGTTCGTTGATTCGTTGTTTGATTATCTTTTCCAGGATCTTCCCAGGTATTGAGGTCAGGCTGATAGGTCTGTAATTTCCTGGATCCATTTTTTTTCCTTTTTTGAGGATGGGAACTACATCAGCTCTTTTCCAGTCCTCTGGTAGTTCCCCTGTGTTCCAGGATCTTTGAAAAATATAGTTCAGTGGCTCCGATATCACATCTGCCAGTTCCTTGAGAACTCTGGGGTGTAATCCATCTGGTCCTGGCGATTTGAACTCATCTAGGCTGGACAGGTGCTCACTAACCATTTTCTTGCCTATCTTAACTTGTGTTTCTGTTTTGTTTTTTGTGGCACTATTTTTGATAGGTTGGTCTGTTTTTTCCCTTTGTGTAAAGACAGATGCAAAAAATGAGTTAAATAGTTCTGCTTTCTCCCTGTTGCTTGTCACCTTCTTGCCACTTCCACCCACTAATGGACCAATCATTTCCTTCACTTTTTTCTTGTTTTTTACATGTTGAAAGAAGCTTTTTTTGTTATTTTTGACTTTGGTCGCAAGCCTCAGTTCATTTTGAGCCTTGGCTTTCTTCACTTCATCTTTGCAGGCTCGGGCTATTTGCTGATATTCTGACTTAGTGATATGTCACAATACGGGATCAAGTTTCACACCCTTGATTTAAGGAATAGTCATGTTATGGTTCCGGCTAATGAAACACTTCAAAGAATTTCCAGGCATTTATTTTCCTAAAAGTCATTTATTGTTACAAAATGTCGGCACAGGCATAATGGAGGCTTATGCTAAGATCTAAGTTCTCTTCCTCTGAGCAGTTAAATTATCAGCATGTTCCCTCCCTTAATTAGCTGTCATATATCACAAAATCCAATTAGTGTGAAGGTCAAAGATTTCCTTCCTCTTTCTTTCCGGGGCTTTACCCCCACCCCCTCTTCTGCTCTGTATTAACCCCATAAATATCAGACAGTTCTGCATATTGTCAAAGCAAGAACATACAATATTTGCAGCGTTGACAAGTCACATATCAGATGGCATAGCCCACAGCTGAATAACAGACAGGATCAGAAACTTAGAAGAGACTCTCCCTAGTTTGTCAAGCTGTAAAGGAGACTTGGGGGGGGGGGGAGGAATTGAAATTCCAGACCTGCAAGATTCTGTCAATGTGGCTTTGCAATAAAGCAGAATTAGCTCATCTGATTTATTTCTGGAATAAATGTAGGCACTTGGATAATGAGAGAAATATTGGTGAAAGTCAAGACCAAATGTTGCCCTTATTCTTTAAGAACTCGTTAAGGGCACTGGACTTAAAGTTAAAACCTGAACTCTTCTTGTTGGGAATAACGACAGAAAAATACGACAAGGGAACAATCTACCTGCTGCTATACATCCTGACTGCAGCTAGGCTTGCTTTTGTGCAAAAATGGAAGAGCAAGGAAATTCCCACAGAGGAAGAGTTAATACATAAAATATTAGCGTGTGGAAATGGACAGGCTCACAATGATATTAAAAGACAAATGTGGATCAGTTTATTATGAAACCTGGGATAAATTTTACCGCTGGAGGAATTTGAAGAGGACGGTCGGGATTAAAGATGAATGTTAAGATAGAAATATATGTTATTTTAGAACAAGTATTGTATATAAAACTTAGATGTATATGTAGAGATGAAGAATTGATTGTAAAAAGTGGAATAATCTGATAAGAATGTATATACTGGAATGTCATGTTAAAACCAATGTTTGTTTGTTTTTAACTGTATTATAAATAAAATTTGTAAAAATAAAAAAAAGAACTCATTAAGGGCAAAGAGGCATTTAGCTAATGAAAATCTAGCATTTGTATTAAAAGCTTCATAATGATATACAGACAAAAGATTGTAACGTCCAGATAATTAGGCGTTTTATTTGTCCTTTTCTTCTGGGCAAATGTCGTGGACAATATGGCAGTTTCTCTAAACTAAAATAATTAATTGGACTATAAAATATAAGTGCCTGGAGCTTTTGAGAATAGAGAAGCAGCAATTGTGTAAACATTAGTGTTTTTCTTAGTACTGGCCGGAGATGTGACTGGGAAATTATAATGTGGTCAAATACATATTAAATAATGCACGGGCAGGACTTGAAAACACTCCACTGAAGATAGGAAAATATTTTATTGTATCCAGGAGACAAAACACAGAGGCTTTCCACAATCTAACATGGACTCCAGATAGAAGTTAACCTAGATATTCTCCAGCATACAAAAATGGAATTCAGTCTCATTGAATCTTGAGGACATGATGATGGAGAGCTCCTTATATAAATATGGACAGGTTTTTTTTTATTGTTAGATGCTGCACTTTGCACCTGTAGTATCCATTTTGTTCCTGACTCCCAAAAATTCCTATTGAGGCAGTCCTTTGGATGTCCTTAGGGTTAAATCTTAAGGGGCTTTAAAGACTATGACAAGCATTTTGAATTGTATTTGGAAACTTAGTGGTCACTATTGCAAAAGCCAGACATCTATAGCAGTGTTTCTCTGGCAAAGTGGAGATGGGTGAATTGTCCAGCCAGCAGATTAAGAATGGAAGTCCACCCATCTTAAAAGAGGAAAAAAGAGAAAAAATGTCCTTGTTTTACAATGTCTCATAACCAAACCTCACATATCCTTATTCTTTCTTTTTCCTCCACAGTTGGAGCTATTAATGAGGAGACTTTTATCCAGGTATGTGTAACAAACTATGTTCCTATCCGATAGGAGAGACACAACTGGGCAACGGCATTGTAAAGTTCAATATCACCACATAGAAGTGTAACCTTGCTTCACAATCATTTGATAAGATGTTTTTTTAACATATACTGTAACAAGGTACTGACATTTATAGTATACATAAAATCCAGACAGCATACTAAAAAGCAGAGACATCACCTTGCCAACAAAAGTATGTATAGTCAAGGCCATGGTTTTCCCAGTTGCAATGTATGGCTGTGAAAGTTGGACCATAAGAAAGGCTGAGTGCAAAAGAATTGAGGCTTTTGAACTATGGTGCAGAAGAAGACTCCTGCGAGTCCCCTGGACTGCAAGGTGATCAAACTGGTCAGTTCTGGATGAGATCAACCCTGACTGTTCTTTAGAAGGCCAGATCCTGAAGTTGAAACTCAAGTACTTTGCCCATCTAATGAGAAGGAAGGACTTGCTGGAGAAGAGCCTAATGCTGGGAAAGATTGAGGACAATAGAAGAAGGGGACGACAGAGAATGAAGTGGCTGGATGGAGTTACTGAAGCAGTAGGCGTGAGCTTAAATGAACTCCAGAAGATGGTAAAGGGCAGAAAGGCCTGGAGGAACGTTGTCCATGGGGTCGTGATGGGTCAGACACGACTTCGCAACTAACAACAAGGACCTCTAAAAAAAGGTCCAAAATGATCTAAATAAATGAATACTGGAATTAAGTCAAAACAGTCAAGAGAGGCAAAGTATACAAATCAGATATAGAGAGTTATGGAAGGTATAAAATCAGCTTTCAAAGTGAGACTAAGCCCCTAAGAAAAAGCAGAGTAAGATATAGACATGTAGTAAACAAAAAAAATCACATCCCCATTTGATTGCAGAGCAAAGTTTATTTTGTGTATATTTTGTAAGAGAACCACTATCTTTTCTAGTGGAATTTGGCTTCTATCCTGCTTGCTATCCCTGTGAGCCAATCATTTGGGAGTATCTTCCACCTCCTCCAGCTAATTCTTCAAAAACATTTCCCCAATTGCAAAGCTAAGCCATAGGTGACTGAGTTGAGTTCTACCAACATGAGGGCTGCTGGAATTCTTGTGTTCTGTCTCTTCTCTTCAATCTTATCAACAGGTAAAGAATTTAATTTCCTTAAAACTGAGCTGTAGAAACTTTGGGAGACTTCAAGAAAGGGAAGCATAATAGGTTGAGGCAGGCAAGTTGTGGAAGTCTCTGGTAAATTGCTCTACTATGGGTAGTTCTCAACATAGGTCCATTTGTTCAATGACCATCTGAAGTTACAACAGCACTGAAAAAAAGTGACTTACCATATGGTCCTAACATAGTATTCCCACAGTCATGGATCAAAAGTTGGGTACTTCGCATCTGGCAAGTATTTATAATCGTTGCAGTGTCCTGGGTTATATGATCACCATCTGCAACTTTCTCAACCAGCTTTTGACAAGCACCATTAATGGTGGAAGGCAGATTTGGTTAACAGCCCTGTGATTCACTGAATGACTGCAGTTATTAACTACCACAATAAGGTTGTAGAATTGGGCACAACTCACTTAACAATATTATTTAGCAACAGAGGTTCCAGTCCCAATTGTGGTCTACTTGTAGTGGATGCAGGATTAATGCTCATCTCTTCAGAGTTTCGTGAAAGCCAGTTTGATGTAGCAGCTGAAGGTTTTGGACTAGGAATGGGGCGATATGAGTCTAGTCATTCATGAGGAACAGAAACTTGGCAGGTGAGATTGGGCCATTGGGCCAAAAACTAGGCAGGTGACTCTCTCTTAGCCTTAGGAAGAAGATGTTGGAAAACCACCTCTAAAATGTGCCCAAATCCTGCATGACCAGGAATCAAGAGTTAAAGTTGATATCAACAATTATTCAGAGTCCATTTTCTTGCAGAAAAATGGCCTCAGCCAGTTTCCAAATGGCTCCTTCACAAAATTGGTCTACAGCATAAATACCAAAAGATGGGAAGGTCCAGTTTCATATTAAAAAGTTAGAGGTATGAGAGGGTGAATCTCTCCCTTAGTCTCAATTTTGTCTTCCATTTCCACAAGCTGACCTCATCTCCCACCCTTCCATAGGTCCCCAGCAGTAGAAACAACTGGGGAGGATAGTTTAGCAAACCAGATTAGAGCAGTAGTCTTGAAGGTAAATGCTAGGATAGCAGAGCATACAAAGATAACTCTGATCATTGGCATGTCTGTGTCTTCTATTTGTAGTGACTTCTCTGAGGTGTCAGACATGTGTTGCTCCTATAAATGAATGTGAAGGAGAAGATGTGAAGGTGGAGGAATGCAAAGAAGATGAAGAATTTTGTTCTACTGTAGTTTTTAATAGTACTATAAGTAAGTGAAAATTGAGTTTGTTCTCGAGCATGAACATCACTTGGTTTCTGGACCATCAAGGAATAACCTGCATGTGTTTCTCATTTTTTATATAATATGTATTTATTTATTAAAACATAGAACATCAGAATTAGAAGGAACCTTGGAGGTCTTCCAGTCCACCCCCCTGCTCAAGCAGGAGACCCTATACAATTTCAGACAAATGGCTGTCCAGTCTCCTCTTAAAGACCTCCAGTGAGCACCCACAACTTCTGGAGGCGAGTCGTTCCACTGATTGATTGTTCTCATTGTCAGGAAATTTCTCCTTAGTTCTAGGTTGTTTCTCTCCTTGGTTAGTTTCCATCCTTTGCTTCTTGTCTTGCCTTCTGGTGCTTTGGAAAATAAGTTGACCCCTTCTTCTTTGTGGCAGCCTCTCAGATACTGGAACACTGTTATCATGTCACCCCTCGTCCTTCTTTTCACTAAACTAAACATACCCAATTCCTGCAACCGTTCCTCATATGTTTTAGCCTCCATCCCCCAATAATCTTTGCTGCTCTTCTCTACACTCTTTCCAGAGTCTCAATAACTTTGCTGACTTATGTCACCTATTTCACTGTCAAGCAACAGTAAAATACTCAATTTTAGCATTTAGTTTGTGTAAAACCCAACTGAGTTGGAGACTTTCCTTCAATGACTTCTCTTGGGGTTCAGTGAGGGACAGTGGGAGAAGTCCAGTGTTATTTGTCAGATGTAATTGTTTAAACCCAAGTGCATTGACATGTACATGGGGACAGGAGAGAACAAAGGATGAAGGACACATCACGATGTAGCAATCTAAACTTTGCCCTTTTAAATATGCATCACAAATTAACAGAAGGAGCTTTCATTGCCATGTCACAGTGCAAGATTCATTGTTCCTCACAAGCTCCAGATTCTACAGTTGCCTGTGCTCAAATGTTTCTCGGGCATAAATACATCTTCAAGAGGCGTCAACATTTACATGAAAGCCACTAAGATTCAGTAGTTGTAAGGACCCACCCCACTTTGCATCTTAAGAAGACAAAACTCTTGGAATATTTCTTCCAACAGAATCCTTTATTAAGAGAAAATGGTTGCAGGTGTTCTAGACAGGACTTGGGGGCCAAGCCCTATGGTTCAAGGTTTTAAGGGTTCCCAGCAACCCCACCCCACCCCACCATCCTTCCAGTGAAAATCCCAGGCATTACATTTCCACCCCCTTTTCCTCACTGCCGGCGGAAGGGAGACTTCAGAGGGGAGTAGATGAAAGCTGATGGCCCCATTGTTATGTGTAGTCCTTTTGGTGGTATCCACATCCAGTCTCTTTGAAGTGTACTGAAGGAAGTGAGGGTCATAATACCCCTTTGTTCGCCCCCTTCCCCTTCATCGTATGACAGAATCCGGAGGGGGCAGAAATGGGGCTTTCCATAGTCGATAACTAGAGATGAAATAGGATTAGGAGCCCAGAAGATCAAAATTCTTGACCTTCCTTGCTCAGTTATTCTCTGCAGGTCCAAGAACTAGTATAGTGGGAAGCCGGGACACTCAGCCAAGGAAGTTCAGTCCACAGTTTTGTGTCAGTCAGACTTTCCCAGTTCAATTAACTTTGGTGATTTTATGGGGACAAATAACAAGTGGAAGTGCTACGAGCTCCTACCTAAACAAAAAGGAGGATATACATTTTATAAAGTGAAATAAACATGCATATGTAGCTATTTCTTCCAAAATACAATTGCCAAAGGAACATGTTTGATGTGCACATCTTCATTTTCTGCTGAGTTCCATCTTTCTTGTTTTATTTCTTTCTGCAGCCAAGCATCCGATGAATTTCGTTATCAAGGAATGCAGAAAACGTGAGCAGTGTCTCAGTGGCTCCTTCAGCACCACAGTAATAGATGGTAGATTTGAAGTGTCAAAAACTAACTGTTGCCAGACTGATGTCTGTAATGCAGAACCGCTTCTGTGTAAGTATCTCCACCATGATACATCCTTTCTGAGCTCCAACCAAGTTTAAATAGTATCTGTCACCTGCTCCAAGCCATACAGATTCTGAACAGCATGGAATAATTCGATAAAAGGAACATTACTATATGTCATGTAGTTACAAGTAATATATAGTTCTCCAGTTATGATCATAACAAGCCTGCCCATTATGATCATAAGTCTGTCATGGTTCTGACAGATGAAACTCTTCAAAGAACTTTGAGGCATTGTTTACCTTAAAGGATCTTTTATTCGAGTAGCATAATGTCGGCACTTACATAATCGAAGCCAAAAACTGAATTCCCCTCCCCTGGGCACATAGCATCAAAGCACAATTCCCACCCCCAATTAACAGTCATAAATCACTTTCGCCAATTAGCTTGAAGGGTGGGCTTCCTCTCCAGCTCTCCAGCAGGCCAATTCTTTATCAGCTCTGGGCTCAATAACCCTGATTCTCACACTAGGTTCAGTGTTGTTATGTCTAGCTGGACTCTCATTCACATCCCCCCTCCCAGCATCATCTAACTCTAAAAGTGAAAGGAAAAAGATGGCTACATTTCTATCTGTTGTCAATGCAAAAACATCCAATGTTAGCAGCATTGACAAAGTCATAATGGTCATAAGTGACAATTTGCAGTTGTAAGCAAATGCAGTGGTCGTTAAGTGTGAACCCATTGTTTGCTATGGCTGCACTTTTAATGAAAATTTTGTACGCCACCCTGAGTCCTTTGGGATTGGGCGGCATATAAATAAAATTAAATAAATAAATAAATAAATAAATAAAATCAGAATAAAAGGCAATTTCCTGCAAAACTGTTCATAAAAGATGACTTGAAAATGGCAAATGACCATAAATGAACTTTAGATCCAAGTCATAAGTCCCTTATTTAATTTAAGGACTATCTGTAAAAAAGAAAAGATCTCAAATAATAACATTCAACTAACTGGGATGGCCAAAAGGGGTTAGATATGATCCAATTAAACCTGTCTCCTCAATGCATGGTGGATTGGACTCCAGATACCTCTGAACGTTGAATGGTCTATGAAGTGGAGGCACCCAGTGCCTATCTCCAGAACAAGAGACCCTGAACTCATCTTTTCTAAATGTCCAAACGGAATGGAAAGGTTTTATTCTTTAAAGTGTCATACAGTCATGATGTTGCACTATGAAGCTCTTTAAAGATAATGACCAGCACTCAGAGTTGGCCAAAAAGCCTACTGGGAAACAGTGCAGCAACTCAAAAGCAATTTACAGGTTGTCCTCACCTTATGACTGATTGCTCAGCAACCTTTCTAAATTCCTATGGCTCTCCTCAGGAGTACTTATGGACCCAGATTAAAAGTTCTGACAGCCAGCACACGCACAAACACACACAGAGACACACACAGACAAACACACACACACCTGTGGTCACATGATCACACTTTGGACCCTTGGTAATCAGCCTGCATTTACGGTATATACAGCTCCTACAGTCATGTGATTGAGAGTTTACCTCCTGTTTCGGGCCATTGCAGACAACTGATTCATTTAACAATTGCCATAAAAAAATATAATCGGGTGTTGTCATGCTTAATGACTGGCACAATTTATGATTGTAATTCCAGGCTAAATTACCATCATAAATCAAGAACCACCTGTATTCTACTCTGATGGAATAACTGACCTCCCTGCACATGCTCCAGGTTACAGAGTGGAAGAATAGAATAGAATAGAATAGAATAGAATAGAATAGAATAGAATAGAATAGAATAGAATAGAATAGAATAGAATAGAATAGAATAATAGACTGGACTGGACTGGACTAGAGTAGAGTAGAATAGAATAGAATAGAATAGAATAGAATAGAATAGAATAGAATAGAACTGGAAGGGACCTTGGAGGTCTTCTAGTCCAGCCCCCTACTCAAGTAGAAGAACCTATATTGCCACAGACTCGTGAATGTCTAGTCTCTTCTTAAATAACTCTAGTGATGGAGTTCCCATGAGTTTCTTTAAATGCCAAACAGCACTGGCTATGCAGTATGCAAAGAACATTTCTGGTACCAGTGGAACAACTCTATACTGAGGATTTGTCTCCCAGTTTGAGCAGAAATCAATCAACATAGGAAGGGGATGGGGAGTGGGCATTATTCACAGAAAGCTGTCTTGCATGATGTTCATCCACCCACACTATGAGTTCTATCAATCAGTTGTCCCCAAGAACCTTGGGTTCCTAGATCCCAGCCTGGCTGGAAATCTCAGAATTGACCTCAAGTATGTGAAAAGAATGTCAAGTTGGAGGAGGCTATGTAGATGTTAAAAGGGTTAGTGGTTATCATGAAACTTTGCTAACTGGAAAATTTGCTTCCTCCAGTGGAAAAGTATGAAGAGTTTCAACCAAATTTGTTAAGGTGCCCAAGCTGCTATGCCCAAGATGTGGATTCTTGTGAAGCCGATCGGAAAGTGAGGTGTGTCGGCAAACAGGATGAGTGTATTACCCTCACTGGTACCATATCTTGTGAGTAGATATTCCCTTCCTTCCTTCCTACCTTCCTTCCTTCCTTCCTTCCTTCCTTCCTTCCTTCCTTCCTTCCTTCCTTCCTTCCTTCCTTTCCTCCCTCCCTCCTGCTTCTTTAATTTTTTTTTCTACTTGGATTTTAGACTTGGCCAGTTTTTATGGAAATCAAACACAAGGTGTTTACCCACATGCTAGTCCAAATCATTTCCCTCGCCACTTTTGTTAACCAAAGCAAAGACGCACAATGATGCAAGAAACACTGGCCTGTCTCCCATGCTCTCAGCTGACCAACATGTATTTGATTACTGTCTTAAAGAGTTGTGAAAAAGAGGTTAACATTATAATGGTTGACTTTTCTAGTTGGCTTTTTCTTGAAAGCATTTGGCATGATGTGATTAACCTTGATTGGGTACTTTGGAACCCTTCCTTCCTTCCTCCTTCCCTCCCTCCCTCCCCATCCCACCCTTTCTTTTCTTTTCTTTTTTTCTCTTCCCTCTCCTTCCTTCCTTCCTTCCTTCCTTCCTTCCTTCCTTCCTCCCTCCCTCCCTCCCCACCCCACCTTTTCTTTTCTTTTCCTTCTCTCTCCTCTCCTCTCCTCTCCTCTCCTTCCTTCCTTCCTTCCTTCCTTCCTTCCTTCCTTCCTTCCTTCCTTCCTTCCTTCCTTCCTTCCTTCCTCCCTCCCTCCCTCCCTCCCTCCCCATCCCACCCTTCTTTTCTTTTTCTCCTTCCTTCCTTCCTTCCTTCCTTCCTTCCTTCCTTCCTTCCTCCCTCCTCCCTTTTTTTTATAAAGAAAGATGATCTATTTGGAGAAACTTTATCATACAGATTTAAATGCATTTGTATCAGTGTTGCTTTATAATATCTATGCTATTAAATCTCAAATGTGCTTTTTCTGCTCTTTTCCTATCCCCAGATGGAAATTTCACTGAAAAGCAAACTTTCCAAGGATGTACAACAAACAATATTTGTTCCTACCCTCTAGGAGAGTCACAGATGGGCAATGGGCTGTTTCAGGTCAATGTCACCACCCTTAAATGCAGAAATGCTCATCTTCCAGATCCTGATTATATGTGGTAGTTTGGGTAGAGCTGAACCTCCTTCACAATTATTGGAAGATTTGTAAAAAATGAGAAAAGTGGAGATTTAATGATGAGATAAGTGAAAATTGGGATCAAAGATGCTTGAGTTTCCTCTCTGAGTCAGTGGTGGAAAGTTGGAAATTTGGGACAAAAAAATTGAAATATTATGCTTTGAGACCATAGCTCAAGAAAATGTTGTGTGTTTTCAATCTTCAAAGTTCACAGAATCATCATAAAAATAAATTGATATGACAAAGGCATCTGCATTCAGTATTTTTTTCCCCTAAGAATTTAAATGCATAAACAAAGGGGTTCTGAATAAAGTAGCTCTTGTCTTCCATACTTAAGAAATTGCAATTACAATTTTATGCATTTTCACTTGGAATCTTTCTCACTGAATCCTACAAACTCCTTCTGCCTGAAGTTTATAGTTTACTAATTCATAAGTCAACAACCTAAGATATGCAGATGATACCACTCTAATGGCAGAAAGTGAAGAGGAACTAAAGAGCCTCTTGATGCGGGTGAAGAAGGAGAGTGCAAAAGTTGGCTTGAAACTCAACATTAAGAAAACCAAAATCATGGCATCCGGCCTCTCAATTCCTGGCAAATAGATGGGGAAGAAATGGAGGTAGTGACAGATTTTATTTTTCTGGGCTCAAAGATCACCTCAGATGGGGACTGCAGCCAAGAAATTAAAAGACGCTTGCTCCTGGGGAGGAAAGCTATGGCAAATCTAAACAGCATTCTAAAAAGCAGAGACATCACCCTGCCAACAAAAGTGCGTATAGTCCAGGCCATGGTTTTCCCAGTTGCAATGTATGGCTGTGAAAGTTGGACCATAAGAAAGGCTGAGCGCAAAAGAATTGAGGCCTTTGAACTATGGTGCTGGAGAAGACTCCTGCGAGTCCCTTGGACTGCAAGGCGTTCAAACCGGTCAGTCCTAGAAGAGATCAACCCCGACTGCTCTTTAGAAGGCCAGATCCTGAAGTTGAAACTCAAGTACTTTGGCCACCTAATGAGAAGGAAGGATTCACTGGAGAAGAGCCTAATGCTGGGAAAGATTGAGGGCAATAGAAGAAGGGGACGACAGAGAATGAGATGGCTGGATGGAGTCACTGAAGCAGTAGGTGTGAATTTAAATGGACTCCAGAAGATGGTAGAGGACAGGAAGACCTGGAGGAACATTGTCCATGGGGTCGCAACGGGTCGGACACGACTTCGCAATTAACAACAAATTCACGAGTCTTCCAGCCTGTCACAGTATCCCAAGGATCATGTGATTAAAATTCTGTTTGGCAACTGACATGTATTTACAATGGTTGCGGAATCCTGGGGTCATGTAATCATGAGATGAGACCTCCACGTCCAGCTTCCACAGGCAGTCAATAGGGAAAGTTGGATTTGCTTATCGATCGTGTGATTCACTTAACAATCACAATGATTTGCTTAACACCCATGGTGGAAAAGATCATAAAATAGGGCCTGACTCTCTTCATTGCCTTGTTTAGCAACAGAAATTCTAGTCCCAATCCTGGTCATAAGTCAAGGACTACCTGTGCTATATTTGAGGCATTCAGCTCAACACAGTGGCAAATGATCCTCTCCAGAATATCAAAGCATTCTGGAGGCAAGTTGTGAAAGCTCCAACACTGGAAGTTTTTAAGAAGAGATTGGACAACCAGTTGTCTGAAAGGATATAGCAGGGCTGTCAAACTCAATTTCATTGAGGGCCACATCAGCATTGTGGTTGCCCTTGGGGGACCGGGTGGGTGTAGCCAGGGTGGGCGTGGCCTGCTAGGTGGGTGTGGATGGAGTGGGTGTGGCCTAGTGGGTGTGCATGGCCAGCTCTACATCGTTCGCATCAAGGGTGCCTGTGGAGGCCTGGGCAGGAGTGGAACAGATCTGAGGGTCTCTGGCAGAAGGGGTGGGACCGGGGCAAGTGCCAAGGCATGGTCCATTTCTTCATTCCTCACAAAGGGTGACACCTTCCCAGCATGCACCCAGGGGGAGGGGGCAACACAGCAAGGGCTGGTTCCTCACTGTTTCCAGACGGCCTTGTGGAGCTAAGAATGCGTTTCAGCATAGATGGCCACCACAAAATTGTACATTGGCTCCCGGCCGGCTTGGGCCAGGGCCAAGGCAGCAGGGGGCTGTTCCCTCACTGTTTCCAGGATGGCTTTGCAGGCCACATGAAAGCACTTTGTAGGCCACATCGGGCCCCCGGGCCTTGTGTTTGCCATGTCTGAATGATATGGGGTTTCCTGCCCGAGCAGGGAATTGGACTGGAAGACCCCCAACTGTTGACCAGGAATCAGGAGAAAGCCTAGCTTGTGTATACGTTCAGATGGCCCCACTATTCTGGATACTTGCAGGGCCATAGAAGGTCATCAAGGAAACATCCAATGTCCCAAGACACCAGAGAACACCCAGCCAAAGAACATCTTTATTTCTGTTATCTCGCATCTTATCTATAATGTACCAACCTTTCTGGGTGAATTCTTTATCATATGTGTACCAGCTTTGCTGGTGGATTGCTTATGTCAATGATGGCGAATCTTTTAGAGATTGAGTGCCCAAACTGCAACCCAAAACCCACTTATGTATCGTCAGGTGCCGGGTGGGCATGGTCCATTGGGTGGGTGTGGCCCATTGGGTGGGCATAGCTGTGGTGGTAACGGCAGACTGGGTGGGACTAAAAAGTTCAATCAATCAATTCCAACTTTGTGAGATCTTTTTTTTTCTCCACGAGAAGTTGAAATTGATTGATCTTTCTTTTTTTTGCACATGGCGGCGGAGGCCTAAAGCGAAAAGGTTTTATAAAACCCAGCTGAAGGCCTAGGACTGGGGTGATGGCGCTCATGCCCACAGAGAGGGCTCTGAGTGCCGCCTCTGGCACGCGTGCCATAGGTTCGCCACCATGGGCTTATGTAATCAAAAAGTATAAATACAAGGATTTTTTGTCATTTGGAGCTTCCTCTTTTTAGAGGAGCCCATCTTTGTTCAGCTGAATAAACATGTAAGCTTAAAAGCAGCTTCCAGTTTCTTGTATTTGTTATCAAGCCACACCTCAGATCCGGCATAACACAAGATCTCTTCCAACTCTGTTATTCTGTTAAAGCAAGTCTTTGCCAGTCCTGTTTTGAGACAAGGACAGAACCAGGAAGCTTCAAGTAGCTCCCATAGACAAGCAATTGGAAAGTTCTTCCTAGAACATTTGACTAGCGCGGAGAGAAACAGCTGATTAGCCTGAGGGAGTTCAAGAAGCCAAGGTTAAAAATAAAGTAAATATTCAATATTTAGAAAGGAGACAGGACTTCATTTGCAGCACTATGTCAACTATTGTGCAAATATTATTGATACGTGCATTCCTCTGCAAGGAATATCTTTTCCCTCATAATACAAGTTAGAACATCCTGGGCAGAGACTTGGGGGGGAGGGTAAAAAAAAGGTTCACGGGGTTTATTCAGGATAGGCTCAAAAAGTTAAGATGGCAGCCAGGATTGTGCCACTGACATATCTGCACCACACATAAAAAAAGCCCAGGCAAACAGTAATTCCACTATTACCTTGTGTCAAGGTTGAATTGCTAAGATGCTGATCAACATGCCATAGAAACAGGAGTGAGGGAGTCTGGGAAAGAAACGGGAGTTTCAGGAAGCTGCCCATGGACTGTGAGAACCAAGGTCATCCAAAGCAGGTGTCTGACAGAGAAGTGGACCATTCCCATAACAGACAGAAAGGAGTTGATTGGCCAGCGTGAACACATATGGGGGGGTATGAAAAGCTATTGGTAACTAACCAGAACTTTGCACGAGAAACTTAGAGTTGATTTTACTTTTTCAGTTCCGGGATGTGTATTCAATAAAAATGTATCTCTTATGGCCCCTGAAGTTTCTTTAATGTTGAATTTGCCAGCCGGAAAGTTGACGCCTTGATTGTTATAAGTGTTGTGCAAAGATGCAATAAGAAGACTGAATTTGATTGGGTTGAGGGGAGTGCATTGATTCCTTCTGTCTCTGGGGAATTCAGGAACATGATAGTAATCCAGCCAGGTTGCCCAAGATTACAGAAGTGAGATTTTTCCCCAGGATGTGTGCCTTCTCTGTGGTGGCACTCACATTAGGAATATTCTTCACCCAACCAGCTGCAAATCAAATTATTTGGACAATTCCCACCAGCAACTAACATGCCATTCTGGGCAGCTTTAGCACTAGGCTGGAGACAGATCGCAACAATGAGTTCTGAGGAGGCATGAGGTGGGAAAACTAAACAATAACAATAACAAATTGCTTCTGCTGAGTAAGTGTGCTGAGCACAATCTATGCATCGCTGTCATAATGTTCAGACTTGCAAACAAGTGCAAAACAACTTGGATGCATCCAAGGTTCAAACATTGGTACCTACTTGACTATGTCATAGTACGTCAGCATATCCTTAAAGACATCACCAGCATCCAGGCCATGAGAAGTGCTGAGTGCTAGGCAGGTGACAGTCTGGTCCAAGCAGTCCACAAGCTACATGGAGCCTCTTTGCACTATAAGCAACCAAGGACTGTCAGAACATCATTTAACTCGGAAGACTGCAAACTCCAGGCCAAGTCCAACAGTTTCATGATGTGTGTCAAACCTACAAAGCTACTTTTGGTTACAGCCATCTTTCTTCGGTTTTCCAGCTTGCCACAGCTGGAGGGGGGAGAAGTTGCATTCTTCTAATTCAGACAAAAACAATAACTTTCTTATGGGAACCAAGGTCAAATCGCTCAAGTGTTTGGCGGAATAGAATTACCGTTAGAGAGCCTAACAAATGTGTTAATTGGAGAATGTGATTTATTACATGTTTAGTGGGTGGGGGGGGGGTTAATTTTTATTTTGTAACCTTTGGGGGGGACTTCCAGTCTTGGTTTCACCTTTGTTTATGCTAATATTATGTACCCATTAAAATTGTTTTTTGAGGAAAGCAATTGCCTCAGAGTTCTTGTTTCTTAATAAGAATAAGAATAACAATAAAGTTGGAAGGGACCTTGGAGGTCATCTAGTCCAACCCCCTGCTCAGGCAGGAAACCCTATACCATTTCAGACAAATGGCTGTCCAGTCTCTTCTTAAAAACTTCCAGTGTCGGAGCACCCACCGCTTCTGGAGGCAGGCTGTTCCACTGGTTAATTGTTCTAACTGTCAGGAAGTTTCTCCTTAGTTCTAGTTGCTTCTCTCCTTGATTAGTTTCCACCCAGTTGCTTCTTGTCCTGCCTTCAGGCACTTT